TAAAAACGGCAGTCCCATCATTTTTCAATTTCCCATTTTTACAATACCGCTAAGTCACCAAAATTTTTATTTGAAAATAGAATGAGGCCTAAAACATTTGTATCAAATTTAATAAAAATTGCTCATTCCCATCAGGAGTTAAAGCCAATGTAATCAATAAAGCACATTCACTTACATCCTCAGAGGCATTGATCCTTAAGATCTCATTGGCCATTGTTGTAATCTCAGACATGCTAGCAAGCTGGTCCACAGTGACCTTAGGCAAGGATATTTTAAGATTAGTTTAAAAACTCAAACAGACCTTTAGTGTTATTTTAAAACTCACTGACCCACATATTCTACTAAATATCACATTTACAGTCTAGTTTAAAAATGTCATAAAGACAAAATGTGAGACTTTAGTTCATGTCTGTTAACTTTGAGGCTATCTATATGCTAGTGTACTGCTAAACACTGACAATTAAAGTTACCTTTTGAAAAAGCAATTGGAAAATGGTCCAAAAGTATTGCAGTCTAAATGGTAACTCCATTCTGGCGAAAAATCTCAAGAAATTGACTCAACATTTGTACACGGAGTCCTGAAGCAACCCTACACTTAACCTTGGAGGCAGCAAATGCTAATCTCACAAGAGCTTCACAGAATGATGCTTACCATTTAGAAATGACCCAAAAATATGCCCCAATGACCCAATATGACCAATACACCAATCAAATGCTTTCTAGAATGGGAACATCCCTTCTTTTAATATAACCTGCAAATGACTAGCATTAGCATGAGGCAAATCATAGCTTTGGAGGCTGTGACAAACCTATCACTATTAGCTTTTTAAAAAGCTAATATGTGCTTCCCCAGATTTCAATTTCAGGAAAACTGCATTGGTCAAACCATTTCATTGGAAGCAATGTTCATAAATGCCTAATTTTAAAGTCAAATGAACTGTGGGAAACCATTCAGCACATGATTTTGTATGTCAAAGGAGACTCACAGCAGCCAGGGAGAACATATGGTGTTTCAGAAGTGACTGAAGCTTTGGTTTGGCCTTTATAACAAAGAGATGAAAGATCAGTGTGTGAACACATATATGAACGTCCTAAAGATTTTATTAAAATAATGAGTAAATATGTGACCCTGGAGCACAAAACCAGTCTTAAGTCGCTTGTGTATATTTGTAGCAATAGCCAAAAAAGTAAAGATCATGTTCCATGAAGATATTTTGTAAAT